GGCTGCAGCCGGCGGCCTGGAGGCCCAGTGCCCTGAGGGGCGCCCCCGGCCGGGAGGAGGCGCAGGCTGGGCGGCTGCCGCCGGGACGTCCGCTCCTGAGGACGCGCACGGCAGGTCTCCGGCCCTGAGGCGGGTCCGCCACGCGGCCCCCCCGGCCCCCGGGACACAGCGCGTCAGGGGCCTGGCCGCGGGGATCCCTGACGGAGGCTCGGTGGCGCGCGGCCGCCTCTGGGCCCCGGGACCCGCGCGGGCCCTGGCTCACGGGCCGTGAGCTTCAGAGCGAAGGCAGTGCTGACACCGCGTGACCCCGGGGCGGCGGCGGCGAAGGACAGGCCCCGCGCCCTTCCTTTGGTCACGTCCCTATTTTCCTTTTTCACAAAAAAATGTTAGAAGCACATAGAGGCTGATACAGGAAAAACAGCTGGAAAAAAACATTTCCAGCCCCAGGAGAACCCCGTCTGTGTGTGGGGGGGGGGGGGCCGCTGTGCTTTTCGGGAGAGACGCCGCCTCGGACCGGGGAGGGGGCCGGCGGCCACACCGAACCCTCCGTGGCCTCCCCGCGCACGGGACCCACGGTCGCGACCTCTGCCTTTCCTTCCTCGCAGGACGCTGCGAGCGCCCGGTGCAGCGTCCGTGCCGGCGCCGAGGAACTGGGGGGCTGCCCGGGCCTCGGTGAACAAGCGCTTTGCTCCGTCCTTAAAATGGGATTTCAGGTCCTTGGCTGCTTCCAGAAACCAGGGATTCAGAAACAGGGGGGAACTGGGGCTCAAGGCGAGGCAAGGAGCGGGCCGGCGTAGTAAGCAGCGTTCGAAGGCGGGCGATCCCCTCCCCACCTGGGCTGTGCTGGGTGGACCTCGGGCGCTTCACTGCAGTACGAGGCCTGTGGCAACCTTTTTTCAAAGTCATGATCAAAATGAAGAGACTTACTATATGAAAGTACAAACATTTTACTTTAAAAAGCACACTTCACCTTCATTTGCTCAGCTACTTGTGAAGAGCTGGGAGAGCGATCGTGTTGCCTTAGGAAGAATTTAGTTTTTGTTTATAGATAATGTACGTACAGGTCAAAAAGCTGTATATTTTAGCTTTTGTATTTAAAAAAAATACTCTTTCCCTTTCACTCAACCTCCGATGTGTACACAGAGGTGGACTGAGGTGTGTATCACACACACACCCGCATACGTGTCCCCGGTGAGAACAAGGCTTCACGCTGCCACAGAAGTTTTAGAAAAAAACAATAGTTTCCACCTTAGGAGCATTTTAGAGAAAAATTAAATATAAGGGAAAAAACCCTTCTTATTAAATCAAACTGTGGTGTAACAGCTCCCCACATCCTGTTGAGGGGCATCTGACGCGAGGCGAAGCGCGGGTTCCGCTTTCGGGTCTCTGACGAGCAGCGGGGGTCACATGTGACCTGCAGTTCAAAATACTTCTGTAAAGAAGAAACCTCGGTGTAGGTGGAAAAGCTGAATAAGAAGTGGAAACTGTCAGCAGAGAGAAGACAGTGTGGGAACGCGTGGGCGTCCTTGGCAGGGCCACATCAAAGAGAGAGCCACTCCCAAAATAGCCCGCGCAGAGCCCGGCTGCCGTGGACTTGGAACCATGACCTCATGGAAGACAGATAGGAAGCGGTGGCAGGAGCGGCGCGGGGCCGCAGGGTCCCCGGCCCTCGTCACCGTCCACCGTGGCCCGGGGCGCCGCGCGGGCGGGGGCCGGGCAGGCGAGGGCAGCCTGCGGTGGTCCACCTCGGCTCGCGGCCCCGCCCGCCCGGCCCCCGGGGGCCCTTCGGGAAGATCCCGGAGGCTGTCGGCACCTCGGGGATCCTTCTCGAGCAAGTTCCCAAGACGTCCACAGCGTCATCGTGGCCCCAGCTTGATCGTCCTCGGCTGGGGCCGAGCAGGATCTGATGACCCAGCACTTCCAGCCAACACACTGCTGGGAGGGAGGCCGGGACCGTTGCGCGTCAGAAACCACCAGACCGCAGCGACACACGGGGCGCCTTGCTCACTGGGTGGGCCCTCCCAGCCTCCGAGTCTCCCGACGGCCCCGGGCGGTCGGGAAGGAGGGCCGGCCCCAGAGCAGCCGCCGGTGGGAGCTAGGACCGCGGACGGCCCAGGACACGCCGAGGGGCACCCCCCCGCGGGTGCCCCGCCGGGCTCAGGTGCCCCGTGGGCCGGAGGGGAACCCCACTTCTGAAGTTTCTTCCCCTTTTATCTTGTCACACAGGTGTCATTTTCCTGTGGTCTGTGTAAACTTGAGGAACTAGAAGGTTCTGGCCTCTCCGCGCGCTGCCCCCCCTCGGCCCTCCATCGCTGCCGCCCCGGGCTCCCCGTCGCCGGCACGCGTCCTGCGCCCGCGGCCCCCGCCCCCCGGTACTGCCATCGCCCCCAAGTCCGGCCGGCGCCCCCCGCGGCCCCCGCCCCTGGGCCCCTCCGCCCGTCGCTGTTGCCCCTCGGGACTCGCTCTCCTCTGCCCTCACGCCACCTCGCAGGGGTCCCTCTCGGTGCCCGTTCCTGCGACAGCATCGAGCCCGCAGGCCCCGGAGTTCATAAACTTCGGACGCCCTTCCACGCCCCAGACCGCAGCCCCTCCTCGGGTCCAGCGCGGCCGGCCACCAGGAGCCCCGGGGCGAGCACCTGCGCCCACGCCGGCCGCCTGCGCCACACAGCCGTCCCCTCCGGGCCCCCCCGGTTCTCCGGTCGTACGGCCGCTCAGGCCCCCGCATCGCGATGGCCCTGGGATCCCCCCAAGTCCGGTGACGGGGCCCCTGGCCTCCGCCGAGGCTCCCGCGTTTGCCCGCCTCCCGCGCGCCGGTCCCATCTGGAATCGACCGCTGCTCTCAGTCCCCGTCACTGGTCCCGCCCCGGCGCCCCCACAATCCACCACGGCTGCACCCGAGCCTCCCTCGTAGTGTCTGTCCGTCACTGTCGGCCTAAAACCTCCCTCCCGTTCTCCATCCCGCCCCCTCGGCCTCCCTCCTGGTCTCTGTCATTTTTACGCTTTACGCCTTTTCAGCGTCCCTGTCGCTGATCAGATGCGTGTTGTGGGGCGTGATCAGCCGTGATCATCGGATGCGAATTAAAACCCGGCTCTTGCCGTGGGTCTGTCACGTCCTGTGCGGTCCTTTTCGCAGCTGTCCCATCCGCGAACTGCCCCGCCTGGCAGTTGTCGCTGGGTTCCCCCTGGATAGAGACTCCCCTGCCGCGTCCGCGTCCACCCTGCCAGGAGCTCCCGCTGCCCCGCTGGGGGATCGCTGACCGAGCAGCCCAGCGTCGCCCCACGGGCCCCGCACCTGCCAGGCATCCTGACGGCCGTTTCGGACGATCTGCGGGGCCCGCGGCCGCGGTTGGTTCTGGAGCAAACCGACAGCAGCCACGAGCCGCTGCGGGCTGGGCAGGGCTCCAGAAGGGATGTGGGGGCCGGCAGCGCCCGGAGTGCGGTCGCTTGCCCCTGTCCCCTCGCTGGGGACTCCTCTTGCTGCGCACGGGCTCCCTGCCTTTTTGAGTGTGTCTTTCGTGTGCTGGCACAGGCGCGGCGCCCTGGGGGAGCTTGCGATTTCTGACTTTGTTGTTGTTGTTGTTGTTAAAATGGCCTTTGATGTGGCAATGTTCTGCCAAATGAGAATTGGACGTGTGCCTCTTAAACCAGCGAGAGTGTGGCCCGTGACGTGGGGGGAAGGGCGCCCTCCCCTCGTGCCCCGGTGCCCATCTGTGCAGCAGGCAGCGGGCAGCCCCGAGGCCGGGGCGGACGCCAGGGGCACGAGGGGAGCCGCCGGGGCCTGGCCCCGTCCCGGGAAAGCCGCCTGCCTGCGCCCAAGGAGCTGCCGCGTGGCTGCTCGCGGGCAGGTGTCGCCCAAGATCTGCCCTGGGCCCTGGGCATCTTTACGCCCACGGGCAGCGCGAGGAGCCCCTCAAGGAGGGGGAGTCCCTCCCCGTGCCTGCGGCCACCCCCCTGCCCCCGGCGGAGAAGGTGGCTGCCGGTCGCATCCGTGTCTCAGGCAGGGCCCAGGCCTGTCGCGGGCGGGCGGGCGGGCGGCGGGTGGCCCGGCCAGAGGCCGGACGCCACGACCCTGGGTCCCGGCCAGGCCGCGCCTTTGGGAAGAGCCGGGTTGGGGGTGGCAGCGCGGGTCCCTGGCTGTAAACTGGTGCCAGCGAGTTCTGTTATCAGGTCCCATGACACAATTCCTGGTTCCCGACACTGGGTTTTATTATTGTTATTCTTCAAAACAGGCGGGGGGTGGATGTTGAAAGGGAGGGGAGGGAAGGGAGGGGGTGATGAAATGCGGCCGCCCGGTTGCTCAGGAAGCCGCCCTCGGGCGGGCCGGGGCCTTTGCCGCAGCACGTGGAGCTTATCTGGGCGGCAGAGGGGAGCCCGGCAGTTCCGTGACGTGAGCGTGTGCTCCCCACCTCCAAACTCGGTCAGGAAAGGCACCGTGGTGACACCCCCCGGTGACATTTCCCCCATCTGGGCGCCCGTCGGGGGTGGCGGGGGCGGTGCAGCTCGCCCCCGATGGCCTTTGCTCACTTCCTCCCTGGCTGCCAAAAATCACAGACTCACAGTGGCCGTGGACGAGGAAACAGACGAAGGAAGAGCCCGACCGAGGCCCCCGCCGCCCGGCGCTGGCCCGCGCGAGGCCGGGGGCGGCCACACACGGGGACGTCCCCGCAGCGTGTCCGTGTGGGCGCCGGCTGTCGAACCCGTCAGCGGCGCTCCCCGCGTGGAGCACACGCGCCTGGGGCGCACGGCGCACAGGGACGGCGGGGCCGCCCCGGGCCCGTTTGCGGTGGGAGCGGCGACTGCACCTCCATCACAGCAGCCGGCCCCGCGGCTGCGCCGCTGGCTCGGGGCGCCTCGGGGACGCGGCCAAGGCCACCAGCCGCTCCCTGCGCAGGCCGCGCGTCCCGTCCAGGCGGCACGGCCGCCGGCCTCTGGCCGCTCACCCGCGGCTGCGTGCGGAGCCGCGCGTCCCTAATGCCCTCCCTGTCTTTGTTTTCTTGCAGTAAATGAAATCATACGCAACGACCTCTCCAGCACCAACCCTCATTCGTAGTTGGCGACGCCGGAGCTCGCCAGAGGCTGCGTGGTGTCGACCCAGCGGGCGACGGTGGCGGTTCGACACGCAGGCTTCTGGCGGAACAAACTGAACACACCTGGTACCGCTCAGAACTTCCAACTCACTGAAGGGTCACTGCACATGCAGAGAAGTAGCCCTTTAACAGGAAGGAAGGACCACTCCGTCTTCTGAAGGAAAAGTCATCTCAAGAAGAAAATACAGGGGTGGCGTGGGGTGACGGCAGGAGACAGACCCCCACGGCCGTGGCCCCGGGCGCCGCCGGACCCCGGTGCGCCCTGGGGCGCCCCTGGATTCCAGTGCTGGAAGTGCCTTATGTGACCCCATCGCAGCGTCAGGGCATCATAGACGTGAGCATTAAACTTGCTGCCAGGAAAGTATTTGTAGGAACAAAGCTATCACACCCTTTCACCATGAGGCTTTATCAAACTCTGTATAAATGAAGAGAATCCTGGCACTCTAGGCCTTGTGAGGAAAACCTAACACGTTTCCTACTTTTTCCCGACTTCCTGGGCGGCTGTAACATACAGTTTCGTTGCCTCATTCAGTGCATTTCAGAAATCTCCCAGTTTGTCATCTCAGCTCTTTCTCGTGTCTTTCCCTCCCTTGCGTTGACTAAAACCGTAGGATTGTTCATTGTAGCTAGGATTTTGTTTTTATCTGGCTTTGAACATAGCACAAGTAGGTTGAATAGCACAAGATAGGTTACTGGACAAGAAAAGAAATCTGTTCGCTGCAGGACAGGTGTTGCATTTGCATGTATGTACATATATAGGCACATATTTATGTATAAATAATAAGTAGCAGGTGGTCTTCGGTCTTCGCCCAGCAAGGGCTTCCGAGCCAGCAATAGCCCATGTCCACGGGGGGGGGGGGGGGGGTGCGTCCAAAACCCAGACCTGGCTTCCCAGCAGCTCCCCCACTGGGGCCCCCGCCGCCCACGGGCCGGCGAGCTCTCACCTCGCGCCCGGGGCCGAGCTCTTCAGAGGCCGGGGAGGGCGCGCCGAACACCCTGCGCTACCAGGTGGCGAAATCGGAAAGCAACTGTAAATAACATCGCAGAGGGAGTGTAATATATTCGTCCAGCTATAAGATTATTATTTCACAGAAGCCTTATAACGCTGCTTCATATAAGAGAACGATTACCAAAAAACAGCGTTTTACCACGCAGCGACTGGGGTAGGTTTCAGATGAGTCACTGTTAACAGATAGGGTAGGGTCAGCTTCACTGCTGCATTTTGTACACTTAACAGCTTCTCACACATAACCGAAACGCGCATGGTTTGATTGAAACATGTTTAACCTGATCCTGTGCCTTAGGAAGTCACGCCCCCTCCTGGAACCAGCCTGAACTGCAGCCTGGGGCCCAGGCCGACACCGACAGCAAAAGGGGGTGGGGGGAGCTCGCCTGCCGGAAGGATGCTTTTTTCAACCTCCTTTTCTGTATGACTATGTCTAGCGTTTTTAACTCAGAAAAAAAACAAACCAAAACCCCGAAAGCCATATCGTCCCATTTGCACAGGACTGTGAAGAACGGAAGCTCTGGCTGCGGGCACGTTCGGCCCTGCCCCCGGGCGCCCCCCGCCCTGTCCCCCGGAACCTGCCATGCGTCCAGCGTCGTAGGCCTGCCTGCATGAAACATTTCTGACGGCTGTGCTCCGGCCAGGGAGCGTGTGATGTTTGTGTCAGCTATCTTTGTAGTGAGCAAATAGTTGCAATAAAGCGATACTTTCTTGCGGGACGCGCTGGGCTGAGAGTGAGTCATTCCGCTGCAGAAACGCTGCCGGGCTGGGAAGCGTGTTTGCAGCTGCAGGGACTTGTCCCTGTGAGGGGAGCTTTGTGTCGTGAAGCGGCGCCGATACGATCGCTCGGCCCGGAGGCGCGTCCTGTCGGCAGAGCTCTCCTCTCTCCCTCCTGCGTTTGGAGGGAGCCTGTCGTGGACGTGGGCGGGCGGCGGAGCCAGATGCTGTGAGCGCGGCATCCAGCCTGGGGGAGACGGGCACTCGCGAGTGCCAAGTACCTCTGCTCGCAGAGACCGCCGGGGCGAGGCTTTGGCCACACACACACCCGCATGCCATTTGACCATTGTTTCAGCAAAACAATGTGCGCACGCGCGCTCCTTCCACTCCCCGAGCCCCTCCCCCGCCCGCCCAGCCTCCCAAAGGCCTGGGTGGGAAGATCCTCTTGGTGCAACCGGGAACTTCCCATCATTGCCGTTGGCAAGTGTCAGAAACAACTTTTCCTTTCAGGACGTTTCTAAGGCAGGCGTCCCTGGGCCCTTTGCTCAGAGGTTGGCACGGGGACCCTCACTGCCGATCGCAGCGCCAGGCCGGCCGGGCTTCTACGCTGTGCCCGGGGGAGACGCGCAATCCGCCGGGAGCCCCTCCGGCACCACGGGCACAGAAAGGGCATCGGCGGTCGGCCGCGAGGAAGAGGGCCCAGCTGCTCACGAACAGGCAGCGAGCGCCCTCGAGCCCCGGGCAGCGCCTGCCACAGACCCGGATGCGGGGCCCCCCAGGGCGCCCAGAGCCCCCGACGGAGAGCCCCCCGAGAACTGGCCGCTGGGCTCCAGAACGAGGCTCGGCCCCGAAGACGCCGCGGGCAGCCAGGAGTTCCAAAGCAAGGTTTTATAGACGCGTCTCCCCAGATACGAAAATACAGACCTGTAACGTGATGGATGGGTCCTGCTGAAGCGCGTGCGCCCCGTGGACGCCGTGTCCTCGGCGGCTGTTTCCTCCAGGTTGACCCCGAGGGACTGGGAAATACGCCCGGGCGCCGACCTCCCGGGCGGGGAGGGGATGTGTTTCCCCTTCAAACCAAGACTGCATTTCTCTGGGAAGCTGAGACAGATGGCAGCCTAACCTCCGCTGGCCGGCCCTCTGCGGTGTTGGGGGGCGGTCACCGGCCCCCCCGTGGCATCCTGGGGGACAGAGCACAGGGGACCTGGGCCCAGGCGCCTCCGCAAGAGCTGGGAGCCGCGTGCGTGCCCGGGAGGCACATGCCGGCGACTCCGCTTCACCCTCATGCCCCTCGGCCTCGCGGGTCCTGCCCTTCCAGAGCCTGAGGCTGTGGGCTTCTCTTGTAACCCGGCGCAGCCTGCGCAGAAACGGGGGCACATGAGCATGAGCACCCCCTCGGTCTCCTCCTCCGAGCAGGTCCCCGGCTCGTCGGGCCGCTTTCCACGGCCCCCGTCCCCCTTGGGGGTCCCCACCGCAGTCGGCTGCTCCTGCCCGTCTGGCCGCGTGGCCTTGCTGCGTCCCCACCGGCGGGGTCCCCAGGAGGGTGCCCGTGCGACGTCATTAAACCTTCCGTTAGAACCGTGTTTGGCGCTGGGATAAGCCTGTCTGGCCGGCGTGTCTGGAGCGGAGGCCCGTCAGGGAAGAGGACGAGAGGGGCCGAGACGGGGGCCTCTGCGTAAGAGGGTCCTCGCTCAGCTTTTAAAAAAATGCACGGTGAAGTGAACGATTTTAAAGTAGGCAGTTCAGTGGCATGTAGTGCATTTCCTCTGTCGTGCGACCGCCGCCTCTGTCAAGTTCCAAAACATGTTCACCCCCCGGAGGAATCCCTGCTCCCCCGCAACCGCTGGCGTTGTGCCACTGAGCATCCGTGTGCCCCGCATGGTTCACGCACACGGAATGCGCTGAGCATCGCGGTTCAGGTGTGGCCACGTCATAGAACTTACCAGAACTTCATTCCTTCCTAAGGCCGAACGCCGTCCCGCTGTGTGGCGGCCTCCGCCCCTCGCCCAGGGACGTCCGGGCGTGTCCCTGTGTGTCCGCTGGGAGCGTCCGTGCGGCGGCCTCGGCTCCGGCCCCCGCGCCTGAGCCTTCGGCTGCGCCCTGCCGGGCAGGACCGCTGGGAGGCACGGTAATTGTGTGCTTTACTTGGTGAAGAACTGTTTTTCCCTTGCCCGCTGTTTAAATTACACATCCCTAAGACAGACACGGAATCGCTAACCTAATTTGGAGTCACATATGAGAAGCACATCGTATTTATAATTCTTCATGCCGAAAAAATCGAGTTAGCTCTCAGATGAGTGAGGGCTCATTTGCACCCGCGCAGAAAGCAGACCTCGCCCGCGCCTGCTCTGCTCCCGCGGGGCCGGCGCCGCGGCTCGCAGGGTCCGGCTGGCTGGGGCCGACAGAGCCTGGTCGCACAGTTGCACTTTACTTCGCACGTACAAATTAAAATAGCGGGGCAGCGAGCCTGGGTGGAGGCCTTCCCTGCTGGGAGCTGGGGACGCTGGGCCGGGAGGGAGACGAGCCGCGGCGGGTCCCCGCTGCCCCCGCTCAGGGCCACCGGCTCCGGGCGCTTCTGCGCAGGAAGCCGCACGGCCGCGTGGCACCGTCTTCACGGGGCGGCCGTTCCCATTTGACCCCTCTGGGACCAAACCCGACGGCCTCTGAACCGCGACAGAGTCGGAGCGGCACTGCCGCGTCCTGGGAAGAGCGGAACGGCCAGGGCACTTTTGTCCCCTGTAGCCGCTCGTCTTTTATCCAAAAAGAAGGAGGAAAAACACCGATGAGACTGCTTTGGAGGAAAGTGTAGTCGCGTGTGGGAAGGGGGTCCCGGCGAGCTGGGCCGAGCTGCCGTCCCCCCGCCTCTGAGGCTCCTGCTGCGTCCTGGCCTGGTCCCCCGGGAGCCTGGCCTCGGTGGCGATGCCGTCCCCACGGCCGGTCACCCTACTGCTCCTCCCTCCAAAGTGCGCCCCCGCGCACACAGCGTCCAAAGGGCCTGCTGGCCCCACGCTTCCCTCCTCTGCTCCCGCCGCTGCGCCCGCTCCTGTTGAACGAGCGACTCCCTCCCCGACCGTGAGGGTGCCAAAGAGCCAGTCGCCTACAAGGGGGAAGGAGGCACAAGACGGTCAGTCCCAGCCCCTCGCAGCGCCTGCCCAGCGCCGCGCGGGCTGGGCCCCGGCCGCACTTTTGCTTCAGCCTCTGTGTGCGTGGAAACGCTCTCCTTTCACCTGTCTTTTACCTTTTTATTTTAAAATAATTACAGATTCACTACAAGTTGCCAAAAAAAACAAAAGTACACGGAGGCCCAGGGAGACCAGGGAATGGACGCAGGCAGAACTCGTGACGCCATCTGTAGGCGGTTTCCTGAGCCCGGTGTAGCCGTCAGGGGACGTGGACGGCAGTGAAACGCCACTGCGCGCCCATCGGGGTGGCTGAAATGCACAGACAAAGCAGAACAAACCATTCACAAACATGCCGCTTCTCCCCACATTGTGGTGCCGCGCAGCTCCCTCGGGGGGGGGGGGGCACGCCCCTGGAGCCGCGTCGAGCCGGGAGGGCCCGTCGCCCGGCCTGGGCCGCGCGGCCTGCGCCTGCCGAGGGCCGCGGGGTGCGGGGTCACCGCAGCCCGTCCTGGCCGTCCCCCGCCGGCCCCACAGGAAGCGTGGGCTTCAGTCTGTTGAACCCCCCACCTGCTGAAGGGCATCTGGGCTCCCCAGGTGGTTCGTTGGCTTGTTTGTTTGTTTGTTCGTTTGTTTTGCTGAAAAAAGCCCCCCTGTTCCCCTGTGGTGTGATGCCCGGGTGGGACTCTGAGCTGGTTTGAAGGCTGCCTGGTGGCTGCAGGGAGCGGCACAGGCGGGAGCCAGGCACCGGGGGTGCGGGGGGCCCTCGAAGGCCTCGGGGCTCCCCAGGCTCCTGGCCGTGCCTGAGGGGGAGCCTTTCAAAGACACCTGCCCGGCGCAGCGGGGGCCGCCAGCCTGCGGGCGGGAGCCAGGTGCGGCCCATCTGGCTGGCGCGATTCACCTGCTCGCCCAGGACGCAGCTCTCCAGGGAGTCCCGGGGCCCAGGCTGGGCGGGCAGCACCCGGGCCTGTGGGCCCAGCGGGGCCGGGGACCCTCCCCAGGCCCAGGCGGCCGAGTGTCCCCCACATCCTGGGACGGCTGCCGCACGTCCCGGAGGAGGAGGCGGCTTGGGGGCTTGAAAAGCCACCGGCGCCCTCGCGCTTCTGCTCGGCCTCCCAGGGAAGGAACAGCCCAGGCCCTGCAGGGCCACAGCGTCGCCCGGTGGAAGAGGACCCCAGGAGGTAGGCGGGGGAGGGGAGGCCACGACGCAGGGCAGCCAGGCCACCGCCAGGCCGCCACCTCGCCGCCACCTCGGGGTGTGACCCTGGCGCATCTGGGCGCTCAGGGCAGCTCCGCAAGGACAGGCGCGGCCCGACGCAGTGCCGGCCGCTCTCGGGGGCCGGGGGCTCTGAGGTGGTCCCGCAGGCGGCGACTGGGAGGGGCTGGGGCCGTCGGGGGCTGGAAGGGGCGCGCCCCCAGGCCTGTGCCGCCCAAACCCTGTGGGTGCAGGGGGCGGATTTGGGGGCCGCCGCGGGCGCCGTCTCCCCCAGTGTGTCAGCCACTGTGAATAAAGGTGCCGTGAACATTCAATGCCTAAGTTTTCATGTTGGGTTTCGGTGAAAACAGCTTTCCACGTTTTCTAGAATAGAGGCCAAGAAGGCATTGCTGGGTCAGGTAGTAAATGAATGTCTTGTTTCCTGACATGCCCAGCTATTGTCTTCAGCTGCTCTGCCGTTCTATGCTTTTGCCAACAACGCGTGAATGGTTTGTTTTGTTTTGTTTTGTTTCGTTTCGTTTCAGCCACTCTGATGGGCGTGCAGTGGCGCTTCACTGCCGTCCACGTCCTGCCGTCCTGACGGCTACAGAGCTGGACGTGCGCGTGCGAGAGGCCTCTTCCTGCCGTTGCCCATTTTCCAGTGGGATCGCTCTGTCCGTCTTTCT